GGGCCGAGGCGGGAGCTTCTGCCTCGAAGGAAGGAGAAGGGTTCGAGGCCGAGTTGTCCGCGCTGCGGCGGCGCTTCGAACAAAGGGGCGCTCCCGCAGCCGGCGCTCCCGCAGTGCCGGCCGGCCGGCACCATAGCTGGAATGAATTAGTCAGTGTCGCTAGGAAGGCGATCATTTCCTAAAGACAGCGTCCTCGTGCCTTGCCGTGAGGCTGGCGCCGGTGAAGCACAGTTCTTTATGGGCTGGTTTCGCTTAAGGAGCCGGGAGATCGACTAATGAGCCCGTGTTTTTGTAAACCGATGCTCCTGTAAAAACCTGGCTTAGCCCATTCCTGTTTGTCCATATACCTTCAGGAGCGATTGTAGCATCTTCACATGAATTTTTGCATGAAGATTGTAGCATCTTCACATCGGGGTTTTCGTTAGGCCGACAGCGCTTGTGTCAGATCAGTCGGAACTCCTCTCCCCTGTGATGTGCGCGCTGGTGTGTGCTCTCGCTGGCAAAGCAGGCTGCCAGGGACCAGCGCGTTCAGTTCTGGGCTGAAGAGGATCCCGACACCGGTACCAGGGCTGTGTGGAAGAGCAGTGCTGGCGCAATGCATCCTACGTACAGCGTGTTGGGTGCTTAAATGAGAGAAGCTACGAGGCACAGTGTATGATGGACGATGTCCCAGACAGTGTTCCTTCGAGGCGGAAAACATATGAAGAAAAGCTGGGGTTTTCTCCCAAAGATTAGAAAAAACTTAAGAAAACCACAGGAAAACAAATGACGCTGTAGTTTTAGCCAAGGAGTAGGATGTCTAATCCAAGCCCGAGCGATTTGCTTTATAGTCTCTTTTCAGATTTTCCAGAAGATGAGGGTGTATCTGCAGGGAGATGTTTGAATGTGAAAATGAGGCTTGGGAATATCTGTTTGTCCATACTCTCTTCTTCTGTTAATGAAGCATTTGCTTAGATACTCAAACGTTTCTTGGCTCCTTTCTTAAAAAGTTATTTGGAAGTATCTTTCTTAAATGTAGATGCTTGAATCTTGAAGAATGAAGCTTTTCCTTTTAATCTAGAGATTACTGCTACGTACGTTGATTTAACATTGCTTTTATTTTTAGGGTAAACTGTGAGAAGCTCAGGACAACTGATCTTCAACTGCCCTGATGCTATCATCTGGGGTGGAGCCTCTCCTTGATTCTTCTGTGTCTGCTGCAATAGAGGAATTGTACACTGGACTGCCAGAGAGCATCTCGACTGAACTTATGGCTGTATCGGAGCCTAATGTTGGATTAGATGCAAAATCTGATGTATCAACGCCAGTGCTAGCACACAGTGACAGTCCATCAGCTGAGCATCATAGGACTTCTGGAGTAGAAAACTTTTGCCAGAAGACAGAGAATTTGGGTGATATGCACAAGGTGATTTCTCATGGGCCAGCAGCATCCCTTACTGAAGAATTACTAAAGGCTGGAGACCTTGAAGAGGATGAAAAAAATAAAAAAAGAAACTTTAGGAAACTAGACTGTTCTAGCGATGGATATCAGAAAGAAGACAAAGAGGCGCAAGATGCTGAGGAGTATCATGCTGAATGCTGTGCTTTAACTCCTGGGGAAAGTTGGTCAAACCAAGTAAGCAAATGCAAAAATTCATCCCTGCATGATATTTTGAATTTAGGGTTAGAGTGGCTAGGCACAGGACTTCGTCCATGTGGTTTCCTGTTTCTTATTTGTGTCTTCTGGCACATGTGTCATTATTTGGATTATCATGGGTCCAGTGACAAATTAGACTATATTTCAGTAGACCAACAGTGTTTTAAAATACCAGGCTTTTCATTTTCTTAAATACTGCTGGAATGGTGTGAGGCAGATATGTAACAGAATGAAGAACAAAACTGGCTGGTGACTAAAAGGGAGGAGAGAAACAACTTAAAAAGCTCCTTGCCCGGTATCTATGTTTCGTGGGTACAGCATATTCTGCTGGTACTGTCATCCCCAGTCAAGGTACTAACCACTAAATAATAGTTATTTCAGTCTGGTAATAGTTTTATAATGCTACGGGGGCTCCAGTTTAGTATTTCGGGTTTTAATCTAAAAAGAAAGGTTATTCTTCAATTTTATAATTATTGTTCATCATTAGAGAGGAAATCACTGTTAGTTTCATCTTTCAAAACAAGATACTCGCATGGTCGTGGCTTTTTTTTCCCCTCCCCTCTAGCAAACACTGATAAATGTTATTTCTAGGCAAAGGTTTGCTGAAAAATGTGCCAAAGAATACTCTCTTAAAAACTGAAGAGTCACAAAACTCTCTATTTAAAAATTGAGATTTTTAGTGACTTTCTTGATCAGTTTTCTTTAGTTTGTAAATAGTTTTCACACACACCAGAAGAACATAGGGGAGAAAAAAAGTATTATGACTGAACACATACCAGCCAGGAAATATCTGGACAAGGTGCATAGGTGCCTGTTTTACACTGATTACTGGATGTTGCATAATACTACAGTACTTTGTGGTTTTAACTCTGGATTTTGGTATCTGTTTGATTTATTTGAAAGTCTGCGAAAATAAAGTTAATTAAATTGTCCATAGCCATTCAGTTTTCCAACTTTCATATATTTCAGATATGCAGGTAGTTTGGTTGTGGGGTTTTGGTTTGGTTTGGCTTGGGGGTTTTTTTGCAAGTAGACCTAGGTCATCTGTTCCTGGGTTGATGTGTTTTTGAGCCAAGGGAAGGAGTGGTAGAAGGCAAGTTCTAATAAAGATCAGAAAAAGTATGCATCTTACCAGAGGTATACAGTAATGATTTGGGGATGCGAGATAGACTTGGAGACTGGATTACTCTTCTGATTCAAATTTGCAACAATTTGCATTTTAAGCCACTTACGTTTTAGCTACTTGCATCCCAAGACTTCATTGCTGCTAAATACAAATCTTTTCTGGATGCATCATTGTTTAGTGGTGAGATGACAGCGATTGATGGGATCAGAAAGGAATGACGAGTCCTTGTGTGAACCACTTGGAATGCAAGGTTGCCTCTGTGCAAGGGCTGTTATGTTCTGAGGTTTCTTGGTGGTTTTCTTATTCAGAACTAACCTAGCTGAGTGGATACAGTCCCGGAAACATGCTAAACGTTTCAGAAAATCGATCAATCTCCACTGATATTTCTGTCTTGTTTCAGGAGGACCCTCACTTAAACCAGCATGGGGTGAAGTCTTTGAGAACCTGTGGCGCTGAAATAGCGGGATCTCTGAAGAACACAGGTGCATATTTTAGTTGTACATCCCTATCCACCCCCTGCTTCTCTCCCAGGTTACTTTTTGTTGATTTAAAATTGATGCATGATTGTGGGATAGCTCATTTATTTTGCTTTACAGTAGAAACTATTACCTTGCATAACTAGAACAATGTGGAAACTTAATCCTCTGCTTTTTCCTGACAGCATGTGTACTTTCCTGAAGACCTTTTATGTACAAGTTATTTAATTCAAATATTTATTTACCCCAAAGTAGAAGCTGTTGTTAATAGCAGACATTTTGCATTTCCTTATGTTTCAAAGCTGGATTATATGAGAGCAGTAATAGCAAAGATGTGAAAAAGTATGACTCATTCATTTTCTAATGTTTGAAAAAATAAAAAGTGCAGAATCCAAAGGAAGAGGACAACAAAACTAATTCTTAATTTCATTATGATCTGTAATGTTCTAGCTCCAAATACTTTGGTCACTTTGCCTGCATCTAGTAATTATTTTCTTTCTCCCTCCATGCTCTCATAACCAAAACTTGTACTTAGTTGAAGAATGCCATCTAGTCTCGGTCCTTAGTAGAAAATGTGAAAAAGATCTACAGAAGTCTGAGGAATTTGTTCCCTGTAAAGTTTTGAATATGAAGATATTCTACAGTAACTGTAATTTTTTGAATTAGCAGCAGCTTCATGATTTTACAGATAAGTTTATTAATAATCATAATTGCTTGGACAGAATGAGATATGCATTGTCTTCCTATGGATGACTTACTGACAAAAATGCTTTCGAGGAAGAAGAAATGGAAATGGCCGCTCAATGCACAGCCATATTTCTAGGATAGAGCAGATAAAGTACCCAGCTATATTGAGCTTTGATGTTACAAATAAGCATTATGATGTTGGCCATGGCTTCCTATGTATTGAGTTACAGGACCTGCATTGCACCTAGCTCGGTATTAGAGGAATCTGAAAAATAAAGGTCTTTGGATGCCTGCTGCTCATGGGGAATGCCTGTATTGAAAAGGATTGTATTTGTTACATTAGGTTTGTAGTGGGGTAGTTTGTTTGTTTTTTCTTCTAAAGGCTTGTAGTAGAATTGCTAGCATCAGTTCTCATTTTTAAGAACATTTTGGTAACCAACACTGTACACGATACTGTGTACAATACTAAAAGGAACTTCAAAAGCTGAATACCTTCTAAATTTATTATATGGTTCTGATTTGCTTTATTTTTTCTTATGCAGAAGAAAACCAAGCAAATGTTCAGGTGACAGCTGAAACTCTGCCAAAGCTCACTGAAGAAGTACAAGGTATGAAGGCTGATGGGACTAGGATATTTAGTAAAGCAGGATACAGGAATGAGAGAGTGGGTAAAGGTCTTCCACCTGAGAGCAATGAATGCCCAGACGTAGACACAGTCATGGCCAGAGCTGGGGTTTCAGAAACCAGGATGTTAGATTTTTTAGAGCCTTTAAAAGTCACGGATGTTGAATCAGCCACAGAGCATCCACAAGAAACAAATGAATATAATGGATTGAAAGCCCCTACTGCCATGCCATTGAGAACAGGGGGTAATGTATCTATTTTGGAGACTAGAGAAGAAAAGTTAACCAGACGAAATCCTGTTAATGAATTCAGTACATCACTTGCTAATTGCCAGACTCATCAGCAGGATGAAGAAAACAATGCTCATGACTTCTGTACTGGTCCTGTACCTAAACATAATGAACCTCATAGGTTGTCATCAGTAGAAAGTTGTAGAACGCTCTCCATAAAAAGTTCTGACGTTTTATGTTCAGTTCTGAAAAGCATCTGTTATCTGGACTTTAGAAATATGCCACTAGAAAACAATAGTATTGCAGTCCATGGAATTATCAGTGAAACCCCCAAAAAGTATCTTCCCAAAAACATCGAAAGTCAGACTCATGATCATGGAACTGGGTTTGTAGAAAATCAAACCTCCACATCCATGCCAGTGGAGCAGGTCTCAGTGGTCAGGAGTGAAGGATTATCTAGTGCTAAAACTGATCATAGGGAAGTAAGTGCTAGCGTAGGTAAATCATACAGCTCTGAATTTGAAGAGGCTGCTGAAGTCCGGAGAAAAATTGCTGTGGGAGATAACGTTGAAGTTGGTAGCTGGCTTGAAGCTCAAGAGGGTGCTAATTCTGAGCATTGTCATTCTTCAGTTTTTAGTTCTGTTGCTTCATCTCCTGAGGAGTTCTCAAAAGAAAAATTTAAACTGGTCCCATCAGAAGGTGATAAGTCGAAAAAGGACCAGTGGCAATTCTCTGTCAGTGATCTATGCAAGGATGATATAAAAGAAAATAGTCTATTGATGGAAACGAGCAACATTTCTTCCCATGAAATTGGACAGACAGACATATGCTTTTATAATACCTCCAGTAAAATTTCTCCTCCCAGCAGCCACAGCTGTCTGGATCTTAGTACCAAGCTAGAGAAAGATTCACCTGAGGCACAACTGCTTGAAAAGCAATCTGAGAGTAATACAACATCAGAAGAGTTGGCTGGCAGTTTAGTTGAAGCTACAGAAGCTAATAGTAATGACAGTTTGTCCACTGGCAAAGAAACTAATTTGATTTATACACTAAATGTACCTCTACCTCCTGTTGCACAAAAATCAAGAGAACCTCATTGTAATGAGTGTCCTCCTTGTACTGCTAATGAAGTTTCAAGCAGGGACAAGGCTCAGGATAATCCATCTGGAAAAGAATCAATCAGTGCTTCTGGAACAACAGGGGAACGAGTCGCTGAAATTGTGCTCCATAAAGACAAATTCAAGTCTTCAGTAAGTTCCAGGACTTTTGATAACCCTAATATGACAAGCAAAATTTCCCAAAAGAACATGAAGTCTTCAGCGGGAAATACAGAGAGTGTGATCACTGGTTTAGAAAATGAACGTAGTGACACATGGAATTGTAATAATCAGAGTATAAAAGGCCAGTGTACAGCTGCCAGTACTTCCTGTATTTTATCAGGGAATACACGTGTAGATGATGTTCTCCCAAACAGTCATTCTTTTAATGTTGAGGTTGATAAGAAGATTGAAGAAAATTGTAATTTGGAAGGAGAAGCTTCAGCTGGATATAATAGTAAAAAGGCAATCATCTTTCCAGAAGCACACTTTCCTTTGGCATGTGGATCTCTTCCTTGTGAAGATGACTGGGGCAACAGAGGTGTAGATCTGCATGGGATAAATGACATTTCCACAGCAAAAAACATGTTTTGCTCAGCTTATACTGCAGAGAAGTCTATTGCTACCTTGGTAGGAGATGAGATTTCAAATAAGAATATGGAGGTTGTGAAACAATTCGATCTTTGTAAAGTAACAGATGGCAGTGAAATTGTTTGTGACAGAGATGAGGCAAAAGAACAAATCGGCATGTGTGCTCTCCAGACAGATGAATTTGATAAAATAAGAACTGTGGATTTTCCAAAGGCTCCTGAAGGCAATCAGAGAAATAAGACTAGTGAACAGCTATTAGTCAGATGTTTGAACAAAAAAAACTGTGTTCATAATTTTGGATTTTGCAACTCTCCATTAGGCCCAAAGAAGAGAGAACTAGGCACATGTGAGAAGAAAGAAGTGTCATCGCTCACAGCTAATCCCTCTGAATATAGTGCTTCAATCTGCGATATATGTCCGTTACTCAACGACATGAATATTCAAACACGACATGCTAGCCAAACAGAAAAGACCCTTTGTCCAGTGGAAGATCAGCGTCTTGCATGTCAGAGTGAGTTTGATGGCCCAGTTCCGGGCAGCAAGCAACATTTAGAAAGTTTAAACAACCAACCAAACGCTGGCTTACAAACTACAGCTACTTGTGTGGAAGAAACGAAAATATCAATTGGCTCTAGTCGAAGCGAAGAGATACTGTTAAAAACAGGTGATGACCTGCCTCTATTAGTTCATAAATATGCAAGAGAAGTGGATTTGGACTCTTTAAATGATGTGAGAAATGAAGACTGTTCCGGATACGTGGGCTTCGTCAGTGATCTAATTGAGAAGACAATCGAACTAAAAGAACACGAGAACGGATGTGAAAGAGAAGATAAAGGAACTCTTGAAGAAAGCTTTTCTGATAGCAAATCACATTGCTCACAGCATGCTTGCTTTATCAAACGTGCAAAAGAGAAAGTAGATCTAGTGTTTGCAGGGAAAAAAATGCAGCAATCTTTGCCAAAGACGAAGTGGTTGGTGGAGGACCAGGAAAATACAGTTAGTGCCCGATTTTTGCCCTTCTCATCAATTCATGGGAGCCTGTCATATAAGCCAGAAAATATGAATGTGCTTTCAGAGACAGAAAACAAAAAAAGTTTGAGAATAAAATCTATCTTAAATAACTCTTGCCCGCAGTTAATAACATTTGAGCCTCATAAAGAAACTGATGCTCAGAAAGGTATTGGTCCATCCCATTTCAGAAAGTTTGACATCCAAGAATCTTTCAGTGAGACTCAGGCGGATTCAGAAACACTGTCAGCTCTGAACTTGGGAATCTGTCTGCCTGAGAAAGAAAAGCTGTATATGTCGTTTGAGAATACACAAATAGATAATCGTGATTTGTCTTCGGCCGAAGTTTTTAGCAAACATTCTTCAGTGACAAAACCTCTTTCTGTAACAACATCTATTAAGAGAAAAGCCAGCAATACTGAGATTCCATCTCCAGAGAATGAAACAGCAACTAGCTTTCTGAATGGTACAAAAAGCTCAAGAGTTTGTGTACACAGCGAAGAAAGTCTGAGAGATGAGGGGCATAGCATACTAACTGCAAAAGACAGGGATGTGACCTCGCCAAAAAGTACTCACCGTGGAGAGAAGTTTAAGAACGCATGTGTAGAAGAGAAGATGGGAAGAGAAGTAGCCCCTAGAAAAAAGTTACCCATAGATTCTTTTCTTGATGGAGAAGATTGTCTATGGGCCTTGTTAGAAGATTCAAAAGAGTCTGGTAGCAAAGTAGTCCCTCTCAGTACTGAGAATTATGGAAAGATTTTGGAAGAAATCCCAAAATCTAACTTAAATAATCTTTCAAAAGAAAGAAAGAATGCTATAAAGCTCACAAACTTAGCGGGTACCAGTCTACTTTCAGAAACTGTGCATGATTGTCAAGCTGAAGATGCATCTGATGCAGAAACTTCACCAGAATTGCAGTATAATACAACACCCACATTTTATCCGTGTATGAGAATACTATCAAACAGTTGCAAAGAATCATCCCCAAGCTGTGTGGTTTGCAGTGAAGTATGTGTGCCTTACAGATCAAATGCACAGAGCAAAGATAATGTAAAGGAGATTACAGAAGGCCAGGACACTATACCAGCTCATTCAGTTTGCAAGGAAAACGAGGCTTTAGGTTCAGAAAGACTTGATCAAATAGAGAAATGTCAGGTACTTAAACAAAAGAAGAAGTATGAGAAGATGGAAGTACATCTGTCAGACAAGGCACAACAAGAACAGAAGTCAGAATATCAAGAGAAAGCAAAAATCACACCGCAACCAAGCACATTGCACAGTTCTGAACTCTTACGCAGCTCTTCAAATAAGTTGGTGACATCAAGAAATACGAAGTTTGAAGGTCCTTCAGAGGAGATTTTTGCTGTCGGAAGCAGTGAAAATAAACTACGTAGCACTTTACAAGAAGTCAAAAGGCCAAAGATTACCACAGATATTATTAGTTCACAGTTTTTGAAGACTCAGGATTCAGAAATGGAAAACCTGAACCTTAATTTAGGGTATGATGGAATCCCTGGTGCCTTTGGAACTACAAATAAACTAAGAGGACCTCTTCCATTCAAAAGACAGCCTGGAAGGACATGCAAAAAAGTTCCCACATCATATCAGCTAAAAACCATAAGAAAAAGCAAAAAAATTAAAAGTTCACCTTTTTTTGAGATTCCTCCAGAAATATTCCCTAAGCAGGAAAACACACTTCTCAAATCTTTGTGTTTTCCATGTAAACCACCGACAATGGAAACAGAAACAGCCATGAGATTCATGCATATGCCAAGGCAGAGGGCCAAGAGGTGCAGTTTGTTGAACAGCTTGAAATTTAGAAAACATACCAAAGAACCAGCATTGTTGAGCAAGCTGTCTGCAATGGCTAGCAAACTCGTGGCACCTGCCAAAAGCATCCATAACTTAGAACCCCTGCCATATTCTTCTGAAATTCTTCCAGTGGCTGAGAGGTACAGCCAACGTAGATCTAAAAATCTATTGGAAGCCTTTTCTTGCATTAACAGGAACTTACACTCACGCTGGGCTGACAGTTGGTGCACCAAGATGTTCAGCTTTCAGCCTTTGGCACTTTATCCTGTAGAATCTACCAAAATACTTTTTTCAGACTTGAGCCACGAGCCTCCAACCTCTTTCTTGGATACCCCAGTTTTTCCAATTTCTTTTCACATAAAATTGGACTCCAGTCCTGTGACAGACCTCACAGGGATTACATCCCAGCACTCTGTACATCACAGACCAGTTTTGGGAGAAATGCCAGCACCGCCTTCAGAGTGGACTTTCTCTTTTCTTCTCTCTCAGAGGTGTTCAGATACAACAGCTTTCAAGGAAGATTCCAGACTAGATAACGAGCTGCATTCCTTTCTCTCTGTAACAACCCCCAGGGCTGTTGCCCTTCATCCTGACCATGGAAGAAGTGCAATAGCTGAAAGAAGAGGAGGTTGTTCCATGCTTGGCCTTCACACAGTGTTAGCACTTTCTTCCCCTGGATGTTACAGGATTTGGACAAGAAGAAGAAACTTAACCAGCCATATTCCTACCATCCAGAGGCTATTTATATCACAATTCACACAGGGTTTGAAAGGGGCAAGGTATCCAACTTCTGTATCAGATGACCTCGTCTCTTCATTGCCATACTCACTGGGCAGGGTACTATCCATATGGAGTCAGCGTGGCCCTTCTGCCCATCCCTCCGAAATCACTCTTCTCCATTCCAGTCACTGCAAGTGGCAGCCAAGTGTGGGCATCGAGAACAGGTAAAACCCATCAACTTATTTCTGAGATTAAGTATGTATAGGGTATGTACTTGCTCCTTTTTGGGAGGGAGAGGGTAATTGCAGCTTGCATTGGAGGGTCAGTTTCCCCTGTTCCAAATCTACACGTTCTGCTCCAAAAATGGCTCAACATGGAAGATTCTTCCCTACGGAACAGTCTGTTAGCTGAATTTAAATATATTTGCCTTCACTTCTTTAATACTATCCTGTTTTGGCAGAATGGCTAACTCTATTTTCTTCTCCCTTGCAAAATATACACACCATGCACCAGAATATATAATGCAGAAAGGTGAGCTACTTCATTAGGTCTATTCAGAGTGACTGCAGAACAACTGGATTTCTGAGGTAGGAAAGTTTTTTTCAGAGGTCTGAGCCACAAGTGCCACTTGGAACTACTGTAAAATGCTCAATATCAGATTAGAAAGAATCCTAAGGGGCGCGGGGTGGCATTTGCTTAAATTTTTAATTGTATTCCATGACTGTTCTATGCTAATTGAAACCTCTTTATGTATGCTATGCTTTTTGATAGTATGTGCCTGATGTATTGTTGGCACAAGCAAGTGTAGCTCCAGTTCAGGTTGATAATGAATTTTTGTGTGTGTCTTGTTCTCGATATGAGTGGGAAGAGGACTGAAGTCTACTCTGCATATTTAATTTAACTTTGCTATCAGCATTTGAGATCTTGTTACTAAGAAACAGAATGAGAGAAGAGGTTCCTAGCTCTGCTACAGGATTTTTGAAAGCTCTTGAGCAAAGATTTTGCCCTTTATGCCTCAGTGATGTGGGGCAGTTCAGTCCCTGATTTTACAGTCTTGAGATTCCTGGACAGAGTATAGGCTCATGAGCACTGTAGAAAATTCGATTTGATTTCTTTTGTTTAATATGGCAGTCTCTGGAGAACTGTTGAATTTGGCTTGTCTTATGTCATAGCTTGACATATATATAACCAAAAATCTTGCCAGATAAGTAATGCTGCATTTTGCTTTGTATAAATGGATAACATACCTAAAATTTTAAGTATATCACTTGCTAGTGTGTCTACCAAAGGTGTGACTGAGCTTATGAAAGTATTACTCCATTCTGGGAGTTGTCTGCACTAAAAGAATGAAGTTGAATAATGGCATAGAGACAACTTCGCAGCACATTCTATTGGACCTGCATTCTTTTTCATTCCATACGAGTCAATATATCAGGCTGAATTTTCTAGTGTACAAATTAGTACTCTGGAAGTAGTCATACCAGTAAACTGCAGTTGGAGCACTAAACAAAAATGAGACATTGTTGCCATTTTTTAAAAACAAACACCTTTTTAAAACTTACTTCTGTGTATGAGGTGAATTTGTTATTTTGTATTGTGGAGGCATGTTACCCTTGGGCTGGGAGATCAGAGCTGACTTATGCTCTCTTGTTTTCTCCCATACTTAAGTCTACAGACTCCTAGGCAGCTTGTTACAGCATATCCAGTTAGCTAAAGTATAAGAGGATTTAATTCCTTGACGTAAAGGGTAATTTGAAAACCAAATGTTTTGCTATGAATGATCTTTATCCCAAAGGCAGAGAAGCCAAATCAAACCTTATCACTTCAAGTGAAAAATAACCCAAAGTTAAAATACTCTAAAACTCTGTTTGTTTTTTCTCTAAAATATCTTACAAATATGCGTATAAGGTAGCTTTAATTCTTCTGCCCTACTCAGATTTTCTTTAAAGTGAAGTTATTGTAGCATGCAGTGAGTTGAAAAGAATGTTTGCAGAAGTTTAAAGAAGTGCAGCAAATAAATTCTATTCCTAAAAAAGTTAAGGAAAAATTAATATTAAAGGTTTGGCTATAAAACAATATAAAGAACAAAACCTAACATTTTAAATATTTAACACCATTTTAGATTCCATTTTGCTGAAGATTGATAGCCTGTTCTCATCAACTAGTAATTCTTCTTTTTTTAAAGGTATTAACAGTAACAGTGACAAAAGGATAATTCAGTAAATCTCTCTTAAATTTGTGGGTACTAAAAAAAAAATCTCCTGTGAAATAAATGTTTGGTATATAAATACAAGAATGCAAGAAGTATGTTCGGTGCAGTATAAAAGCATTTTCAGCTCCCAGAATAACAAAAATCTTTGCCTGTTTTGATTAAGATTGTTAAAAATCAGAAAAATTAAAAAGTGGCTCCAAGTTCTCTGTAGGCCATTTTCTTCTGGAAGAGATTTGTCCTCTTTAAATTATTTCATTCATTGTTAGTGTTTTTAATAACCAGGAAAAAAAGGAACTAGAGTAGTTCTCCTGTCTAAAAATCTTCTGTCACTTCCACTGCTAGTAATAAAGCATTCTTTAAGTGAAATCTTTTTTCTAATTAATGCTCATTTGGATTCAAAATTTCTAAAGTGGTTTTTTTCTCTCCCTGTAATTTTTTATTATTTATTGCATAAAACAGTATGGTCTGCTTCTAGCACGGAGGACTCTGATGCGTTATTGATGCGGGTTCCAGTAGTGTTGGGATAGTGAGTGGAACATTGAGACAAACAAAATGTCATAGTTCTGATATTAAATGACAAACTCAAGAAATGGGTCTTTCTGACCTCCTTATATTTGGACTTATTTGTGCTGCCAGCATGGTTGGTTTTCATTTATTTTGTAGTGTTCCAGTCTGGCTGTAACTTCTTTGCTTTAGAACAGTGAAGTACATTTAGCTGTTAGTTTGGAAGAACAGCAAGTACAAGATTTGCTGCTTAATGTAATAAAAGCTGTCCCAACCAATTTTTTTTCCCTGCTATTAATAGTGTGGGCACAAAAATAAAGCTTAACATTAAAGAACTTAGAGCTGCTGTGCTGACTTTTATGCCATAGAATTATGGTAATTACCAACCCTTATGGAAAGGCCTTTGGTTATTCCAATCGATTAAGAATATTCAAGTAAGATTGTGGGAGTTAGAGACAACAGGGAGTTACTCTTATGCAAATCCTTCCTTTCACTTGTTACTGTTGCCACTCTGCGCTTTTTTATTTAGTAGCCAAATCTTTCAAGGTTTTTGGTTACTTCAATTTTAAAACCTAGGGGTTTTGAATGAGGAATATAGACTTTCATAGAAATAATTACAACTTTCAGACTAATACTGTCTCCCTCTCTGTACTTTTATTTCCTTTTCTCATCACTACCATTTTTAAGTTAAAGTAGGACTGTTTCCCTAACAAGCTGTCAGCGAAATTTAGTGGACTAAATGGCAGATGTGGCTTGCTCTTGTATCATTTTAGTCTCTCGTTCTTATTCCTGATATTAGCATTTTTTGTCTTACAGTCCAGTTTATACTAATAATTTTTCCCTCATCTTTTTTATAGCGTAGACCTAATTTCTGTCTGTCTCTTTTTGGGTTTTTGTCATTCTTCTTTTGAACCAGCTATGCCATGTTACCGCACTTACCTGTACAGAGTATGGAAGCACTACAGACTGCAGGTCATGAGATACGGTGAGTCTCTTGGACTTTGATATTTATTCTGAGTAGTGGAATCATAAGTTTTCTCAGAAAGACATTGCTTATGTCATTTTGGCTTTCAGCTTTTGGCAATTCACTTCAAGAATAGCTTTCTGATTAAAACATTAGTGAAGTAAACTGACTGGATCATGTAATGGAGAAGTGTGGAGGGGTATTAATGCAAACACCATGTAGATCATTGCACGGGACAGTTCTGTTACTTTCAACCATGTTGTGCCACTTATTATGAAATGAATATGTGAAACTATAGAAGTTTGTTTCCTTACTTGGGTATATGTTCTTTCTGTCTGAGCAACTGGACGCTAGGTGCTGAAACTTCCTTCTATTCTTTGTCAGTGTTGGGATGGCAGATATAAAAGCTATCTTTTAAATTTATCTGTAAAGAAAAAGTAATAAATTAATAGTTGTGTCAAAGAAATTTGCTGGCAGAAAAGGAGGATTAATCACTTTCTATCAGTAGTTACTAAATAGAGCTGTAACCTGTTTACCTATACAAAAAGGAAGAGAGTAGGTTTAAAATTACATGTTCAAATACACCAGCAGTTTAGTTTGTTTCAGTATCAATGCGGGCTGCAGCAGTTTTGGGCTGTATGTACGTACCGGAGAAAGTGTTCACTTACTTGGGCAATTTCTATGAACTGCATTGCTTTTTGTGCTCATATTGCAATTTAGGAACATCACCTGAGAGCATGGAATGGTGTTGCAGCACAAATTGGGTATTAATCTACATATGTTCCCTTCTTCCTCTATTACAGCCTGGAAACTTTATTACCTCTTCCATTACCAAAGTCTTGCTCACTTCCAGAATTGTTGCCATCTCCCCCAAGGCTTTCAGCATCGGAGCTCCAGGCCCATGCCCTTGATGAAGCTGATGCTTCTGTTCCAGCCTGTCTTAGATCCCAAGATGACACAGAACTGAAAAAAGTGAGTTCATTTTAGACTTTTAGATATCTCAGACTCTTGGTTCCCCAGAACTTGAAGCTGCTGCTGCTGAATATTACCTAGTAACTGTTAAAGACGAGAGAAAAAATAGGCTGTTAGTCCTAGTCTGTGCTGCTTCTTTCTTTTGTTCAAGCAGAAAGAAGGTGGCAAAACAGAGAGGAATGTTTATTCTATAGATAATGTATACTCAACATAAAAGGGAATTCTGTTGACTAGCATGGTCATTATTTCCTTCATTTTGATTTTTTTTTTTTTAATTTTGTTTTTTCTTTCTTAAGACTGAGCCAGAAAAGAGGCCAAAGAAAGTCTCACAGATCCGAATCAGGAAAACTGTTCCTAAGCCGGACCCTAACCTTACTCCAATGGGACTACCCAAACCAAAAAGGTGAGCAGTATCTTTTAAATGGACTCACACTAGCTTCTGTTGCTTACATTTCCTGCATAATAATGTAATCATTTCAATAAATGCTTCTTTTACCACCACCATTTTGTATACTCCCAGTTGAGTGGTCTGATGTTTACTTCCTTAATAAGAAAATATTGACACAGCTGTATCAACTGTATAAAAGACTGAAGAAAGAAATTGGTCTTTGAACGTAACTTTTTTCAAGTGAGAAGGGATAAATAAAGGACTATTGGATATGAACTACTGATGGGTTTTAGGCAAAACGTGGAAAACTAAGCTGCAATGGAATGATTTTCTAAAGAAAGAAGTTCACATTGATAAACGCACATTGAAAATAAGTCATTCTACAATGCACAGTGAGATGGAGTGATCCATTAGGAAGTTCTGTTGATGCAAATTATGTTGGAGTTCTTCACAGTCCCTTCTTTGTTTGTGGTATATGATCTTAGGGAAACATTAGGTCAGTGTAAATGTGGGTAATCACAGTGCCAGGTATTGACAAAGCTTTTCCAGTCAGTCATCTAGTATTTTGTTCACTTCTGTCTTAAACAGAAGTGCCAGCTTTGACAAAGGAATGCAGTTCTTCAGAGATCAGCTTGCTAATTAAGTGTCAATAACTAACTTTTAAAATCAGTCTCAAGAGATGAAATGTTAATCTGCTAAACTAAGTCTTTTCTTAGCTTCCACAAAAAAGTGACCTGTGAAGGAATTTCCCTTTCTTCTTTTGAGCATCATTATTTTGAAACATCATAGAATGCTAGAAGGAACATTGACCTCTGCAGAAATGGCAAGTCTTGACCCAGACCTTATAAAAACACTGTATGAAATTAGGTGCTTAACGACCTCATTTTTCATTCCTCCCTATCCCCAATTAGAATCTAAATCTACTTTTTAAGTTAAAGCATAATTATTTAGCGTTTAAGCATAGAACGCAAACCATACTTGTTTCTAGTAAATCTGCTTGTTGTGAAGAGAGGTAGTTTTGAAATTCTTTTCTTGATTAATTTGTTCATTACTTTTGCAGGCTTAAGAAGAAAGAATTTAGTTTAGAAGAAATTTACACAAACAAGAACTATAAGTCCCCTCCTCCAGCCAGGTTGGTTCCGCTTCCTAATGAGAAAACTAAGATAAATGTAAATTACTTAGGCAGAGAGAGAGAGAAGATTAAGGGTGTCTGAAAGCTAAGAGGGAGATAACTTTTTAAAATTGCTCTAGTTTAAAGTGGTAGAGAAAGTTAATTTAAAAATAGTATCTTTTACTATTTGGATGGAAAGCAGTGAAATAGAATATCAACTAAGAATTTGCAGCTGTTTAAGTATGGCTTTGTATATTTTTTTTCATCTACTCATTCATTCCAGCCTCCATCCAAGTACAGTACGTACTTCTTCAAAATTCAAAGGCAACTAAATATTCTTTAAAATACTAACAATAACTGCCTGTCATCAAGTATAGCATGATTATCAAGACTGGTACACTTTTTAATGTTCAAATCTATTTATTCTATAAAATCAAGATTCTATAATTGTGCTTTTGAACTGAAATATGGATAGAAAGAGATTCAACCCAAATGTTTATGCAGCAATAACAAATTATTTAGCTAGCAGTAATGTGCAGTTGTAGGAGGTGTAGGCTGTAGGTAAGTATACATTACAAGAGGTGTGGAGGGACTGTAAAAATGTAGAAGTTAGAAGTGTGTTTACTTGGGTTATGAAATCCACCAGTCTCCCTGTCCTTAACTGCTTCTTGAGTATTCATGAGTTCTGTCCTTTGCTTTTACCAGGAGCTTGGAAACAATCTTTGAAGAGCCCAAGGAGAAAAATGGACGCTTGGTCTCTGTCAGCCAGCAGAAGAGAAAGCGGATTCTAGAGTTTCAGGACTTTACTCTTCCCCGGAAAAGGAAGACACGAGGCAAAATCAAAGCAGCGGGTAGTTTCACCCGAGCAAAAAAAGCTGCACTACAGAGCACTGAGTTAGATGCTCTTCTGAGTCAGAAGCTAATGGACCTTGAAGCCTTTTTTGCAAAGGAGGCTGAGCAGGAGCAGGCCTCTAGCATCTGAAGGAGCCATTTAGCTGAAAATGGTCCAGTCAGCTCCTTTAGTATTTTAGTCCTGTTGGGAGAAATCTACTGACTTCTTCATACATTACTCTACCACTCTGTTCTAATATCTGATGACCAGTTTTTGGCTGTGGCCCTCTTTAAGGTGCTATTTTATTTTATTTTAAAATGCTATTGGAGGGATTCTTTTAGGTCCCTGTTTGACTGTAACACAGCCACATACAATTTACCATTCCTTCCCCAACCTCTGGAAATTACTGCTAATGTTTAATTATGTTTAAACACCTTTTGGGGGTAGAGTAGGAGTGTAAAGCAGGAAGTAGTGCACCTTCAGTGATGCTAGAACTCTGTACTCCAGATCATTTGCACATTTGAGTCTGCTGTTGTTACTGTAATGGCTATTTTGAAGAACCTGACAGAAGAGACATGGTGTTTGATAAAGATGAATTCTAGCAAACACATTCTTCATATACCACTAAATTTTTAATAATTAAAAGTAGCTGTCTGGGTTTGCTTTCAATTGTTTCTTCCTTCCATTTACTTAGAAGGTTCCTTCTGAATTTCTGTGCCCTTCCTGGCTTCAGGCAGCAGAAGCCCCACATAACTAGACTTTAAATAACTTGCACTTTGTATGTGTTTCTCTATTTGCTGCATGAGGACACCTTTTAACATGATTGAGCTCAAAAAAAGGTAATATTTTAAGAAAAAATTGTGCCCAGTACTAATTTTTCCCAAATAGTAGAGTTTTTAACTACTTGGCTATTGCCAACCTCTTCCCCAGAGGAAAAGGTAATTAGCCCACGAGGATGTTAAGCTGCAGGATACGTAAGTAGAGGTTTTTAGTTAACTGAGCTGAGCTGCTGTATGCAGGGAACACCAGCAAAATCTTTGAGATTCATTTTTAAGTTATTTAATTCCAGTAAAACATCAACTTAATTGTAATGCCAACAAGAAAATAATTTTTTTTCCACCTTGAGGTTTTTTTTACCACTTTAGATTTACAATTCATGTAGCTCATAATTAGATATTCTCTGTACAGCACTGTTGTACGTAATAGCTAGTGTTGTACAAAGAGCCTCCTAGCATGTGGAATTTTTTTTTTTTCATTATGTAAGGCCATATGTAATTATCTGATGCAGCCCTGGGCAATTTCTCAGCTATACCTTTTGAGGGAAGAGAGCTCCTTTCTGGGATAACTTCTGTTAAACTTACTTGAAGCATAATTCAAAATGAATGCTAGCTGCGTTCAGGTAATTTCTGTCCTTTAGTGCCTATAGAAGTTATTCAGGCAAAGCTGTCATTGCTGGGATGCTCAAATTTAATTAGTCTGTTCTTTCTTTCACTTGTCACTTGAAACTTGCACTTTCTTATTTACCTACCCATATAATAGAGTTCCTGTTTACCTTCAAAATGAGCAAATATCTAGTGGGTGGGTATTTTTAATAAAGTCCCAATAAATGCAGGACTGAAAATACCGCCATTATCTTCTGTTGCTCTGCCACTTCTGTTACTGACCGAACAGAAAACTAAAAATTAATAAGCAATCTGTTGAATTTGAGAGCTTTGAAAGTAGAGAAATGGAAAAGGATTAGTACACTGTGTGTGCCTGAGTCTTGAAAGAAATGTAATCTGGGCTTGTTTTACTCCCAGCTGATGTGCTGGGATTGCTAGAAGTTTACATTCTTGTTTTGGAGGCTAATTATCTTTAATCAGGAAGACTGAAGGAGAGGAATGCACGCTTAAAGTAGTGGTGTTTGGGTTTTGAGGGTAAAATAACAAGGCAGGCAAACTTTGAACATATTGACATACTATTTCAGCAGCAAGGTCTGGTTAACCTATTTGGGCTGCTAGAGAACATTTTAATTGATCCTCTTTATTTTTATAAGAAGAAATCCCTAAAAAATAAAGGTTGACTGCCTTTTTAAAAATGTTTAAAACTTTCCCTGTACTGGTTTATTAGCCCAATTGTTGACTGGTTGGAAGCTGTAGAAGAGTAAGATATATATTTTTATGGATTTATGCTATAGAATGGGGTTGTTACACAGCATTCATTCGCCTTCTATTAATATGGGAGGCTTCTAGTCCTGTGACACAATTGAGCTGTAGCCTTACTGGGGCTTTTAAGGAAACAAGGGTATGGGTGGGGAGGGAGGAAACTTGGGTCCAGGCAAAGTTCAGACCTCTAATGTGCTTCAAAACATGGAACGTGTTGCGTTTTTCCTTTGGGTTGTGGATTTTTTGGGGGGGTTGGATTTTTTTTTTCATCTGCTGCTCTGCTCTGTCCTGTTTCTGATTGCTTTGAAATAACATTTCTTAGCTTTCTTTTTAACAGCTACAGCAGAGAGAGCAGAGCAAAGGAAACACTCCATTCTCTTTTGTTTACAATAATTGGAGGAGTTACAAAATGATGTTGCAGTTGCCTAGCTTGTCCCAGACCTTAGTTTGTGGAAACCCAAATATACAGCATTATTCTGTTTTGGTTTAGTGTTTGTATGATGATAGAGATGCAAGCTAATTGCGACAAAGCATCTCTTCCCCACCTCCAGCATACAGATGTCAGTCATGCTTGTGCACTTTTTCTTTTTTCCTTTCCCACCTCTGTTCCTGTTTACAGCACTCATGGAACAGCCTTGTTCCTTGTGGCTGCTGCTTGTACACTGGGAGTGATGACTGTGCAAAAGCTAGGTATTTGCCACTCTGAGCTGCTTCTGTCCCAGATAATTGAAAGAAAAAAGTTTAGAGGATGCATCTTTTGGCATCTTGCATACTTTCCTAGCTGAAGGATATGTACACTTGCTTTTTTATAAAGTGAACCCACTCCAGTGAGGATTTTTTTTTTGTATCATCATGGAAAGACATTGTACTTACTGCTCACAGAATGATGACTCAGAGCAGCTTGAGAAGAATTGCAAAGCTTTTGCCGTGTACTGTCTCTTAGTAGTAAGTTTTGCAGAGCCAGGCAGCTCTTTGCTAAATTTGCTGATTATGGGAGGTAGAAAGACCACTTTCCAAAAAAAAAAAAGAAAAAAGAAAAAAAAAAATCTTATTTCCATCATGCTACGACTGGAGCAGCTGAGGCTACTTAATGTACGTTACAGCATTTGCCTGGCTTGGCTGGCCTTGTGGCTGCATACATTTGAGTTCTGATGCTTGCTGGATATGATTTTCTGCAAGCAGTCCTCATTTATTGTATTTGATTTGAGGTAGGCCTTTGGTATATTATGTTCCAGGTGCTCTTCTAGAATATGGATGGTAACTGTGGATTAAAAGTCTATATGATGCTATTAAGTTAACAAATAGCTCAGTGAGAATTTGTACACTTGTGCCATTAGCCTCCATCATGCTCTTGGCATTTTGTTTCTGTTCAATATTGTGTGAATCTAAAATTTTACTGTTTCTTTTGTGTGTGTTTTTAATTTATGGAAATAAATTTTTCTGAGAACCTTTCAGGTTTTTTAAGGCCTTCTTTAGTCTTGTATCAGTAAATACATGATATATCTGTCTTGCATACATGGGGGGGAGAGGTCCAATCTTCAAAGAGATTAACACCGTTAAGTAACTGGGTGGGCTGGTGGTGAGGCATGGAGCAGCAATTCTAGTGTTCATTCATCTGTAGCCATACTTTAACAGGAACAGGAACAGAACTGGGGAATTTTAAGCATGATCCTAGCTACTGTTCATAGTGTTGACATGGCATCCATCTCTTAAGGTAGCAGAGTAGCAGGAGCCAGACAGCACAGACAGTTCCTGCTAGGTTCAGAACTGAGAGATACAAAGCTGAAGCAGGCCAGTAGTTCATGCACTACAGTCTGTGCAAGGCATCAGACTGATGCTTTTAAACCAAAGCCAAAGCATAGGAACATCAAAAAGGCCTGTTAAGCATCTGTAATGTCTATGCCAGAAAACAACTCCCCCTCCCCCCCCATAAAATCTTGTGTATAACCCAGATTTTTAACTTATTTCTATTCATCTGCACGCTGCTTTTGGCAAAACTAAGCTGGCAGATGTGTTTCTTCACTCTGTTCTCATAACCCCCTTCTCTGATTGAAGTGCAGTGTTACGTGGGTCCCGCAGATGGCATGTAAGCTCCAGTAAAGAAAGCAAGGGAGCACCTCAGACCTAAACAAGCATCCTGCTGTTCCCCTGCTTCTTCAGGGCTACGGCCTGCTGGCTGCAACACAGTATATGAGGATTATGTTCTGTTACCATACTCGGACTTGCTTCATTCACCGTTTGCCTCTCCCTTTTTTCTCTGAAAGGTAGATGAGTTTGGACTTGAATCCTCTCTTTGTTGTTTGATTAGTCAATGTCAAACAAGGGATAAATGAGAAAAAGAACAGTCTTGGCTAAGATGCACTGAATCTAAAACCCTTGCTGCTGGTCAGAGTGCAATTTTTTTCTTTCTCAGGAAGTCAAAAGGGGGAGGAGAGGGGTGACAGTAAGTCAAACAACAGAAAAGACAAGGTAGACAAAGACGTGGAACTAACTGTTTAAACCCAGGTATTCTTAGCAGTGTATTTTACAACTGAGTACTTTACTGCTGCCTCACTTTGTTGTTTTTGCTGGAGGGGTTTTTTTTAATGTTTTTTCCTTTATATGGCAGATACATTGACTTTATTGCAGCTGGCATGTCTTCACTATTTGCATCTCCTTTATTGCTAGCTGAGGTTAATACAACTGCAATATATGTAGCAAGGACTGGAAAGTTTTGGGTGAAGGATCTTTTAATTTTTTTTTTTTTTTTAATTAAAAATCTTAACCTTGCCTGGTTCAGGGTGCATGGGAGCTGACGGTGGTAACACTCTTGCAAACTGAAATGAGCCCTGTCCATGAAGAGCCATCCACTCTAAATCTTTATCCACTGACAGGCAAAACAAATACATGATACATTCTGTTCAAAAGGCTTCATATCATGTTCAGGCAGTTTCTACTTGTAAAACCAATGCTGTTTAATGGATAAATCATATTTTGACACTTCAGAGAATCATAGATTCAAAGGGTCAAAGTACTATAAAGTAATGGTTGGAGTTTTTGACAAGGTTGAATATCCATTGCTTTCCTTCACCTTAAGGCTGCAAAGCATCCAGTTCTGCTGGCTATTAGATGCCTTAATACATTAGTTTGTGAGAGAAAAATGTTTTGATTTACTCGTATAAATCCTTGGTTAAAAAAGCAAATACATTCTTCCTAGTTAAAAGCAGAAAAGACTACTGATTCTGATAGCAATTGCATATACAGCCTATAGCATATATGTGTATTCAGCAAGGACTATCTAGCTGTAACCAAAATCACGGATACAGGAGGACAATGTTGCAACAACCAAAATGTCAGCTGATATTTTTTTTTCCATGGAAACAGTTTATAAGACAAGCAAGGCAAACTGCTACCAACTAACCTGTGCCACTCACGACAGTCTGTATTTTAGTCCATGGTATTGGCCCTGCTATTTCCACAAAAATGCTGATTTCTCCATAGTAGTTGTACAGAACTGCTGATCCTAGTTCTGTGCTGTAGGTTAGGCAGACTGGCCTGTGCTGTTCCACATGATGCCATGCTCCAAACAAGAAAGGGGTGACATATGAGTAATATTACATTATATCATAAACATAAAATCTGCTTTTTTTTAAAAAAAAAAAAAGAGTATTCAGCATACATTTCTAGAGATGATTGTTTCCTTGCTGATTGCTTTGGGCAGGTTAGACTTGCATATTTCCTTGTTTTCAACATTGATGGTGATGTATGTGCCTTGCAAAGCCTCTGTATTAGCTGTCAGTTTGATGAGGATGCACAAATATCCTGTTTGCAGAAATCTAAGATGCCTACGAACCAGTAAGAAAGTATACACTTAAAGATGCTATCAGCTTTAAAAATAACAGATTCTTCAGATACTATTCACCAAAATAGCAGAATAGAGGTAAAATTCCCCTTTTGAATTTAAGTTCTTTAACAACTTAGACTCACAGAAGTCTAACTTACTGTGTAATCTTCATTTACTTCAATACAGATTTTTAGATCCCAAAACAGCTTGACCCTGGCTCATAGACAGTTTTAGTGATAGCTAAATGCATACTTCATAGAGCTTTCAGTGGAAAACAATGAAAAAGCCATCCCTTAAGTTTATAAATGTTTTGATCTTGAGTTCTCTAGTGCACTCTTTTTAAAAAGGAAATTATTTAACTTATTTTGAGGTTAATTCAAGAATTAAATATGAAATTTCTTATCTTATTCCCAAGTTTGGCATATCCAAATGAACATTATATTCCCTTTTCCCACAACTGATCTTTGGAATTGAAAGGAAAAATTTCAGAGTGGGAGTAAAACAGTCCTGTTTCAATAACCTCATATTTGCTCTAAAATGTATTTGTTATTCTGTTCCTGCAGAGCTCCAGTTTCAGTGCTTTTGGATAGGAGTTGTAAGAGGCTCTAAAGGAGCTCCAAACACAGTACTCCTTGGAAAATTGTTACTAACAGGATTATGTAGAACATACTTCTCCATTCAGTCTAAACAAAAGGGCAATAGCTATGCACAGAAGGCTTCCCGCTTTGCATTTTTCTCTAACTCAAAATTAAGAACTTGACTTTACCTGCAGGTGTACAGTTAAACACTGATTCTGCCAGCTGAAAGAAAGATACTCCAAGAATTTCCTGATAGCTCATGTGACTTGCATGAACAAGGTACTGAGTAGTATCTTTGAAAAGCAGATCGCTTTCGCCATACTTCCACGACTGAAAGAGATGGAATTCAGAATCCAGTTTGCTTCCCAGAGATTCCTAAACAGAAAAGAAGTAAATTCCACAGCTTGGATCATAAATAGCAAAGTTAAGCTGGTGACCCTCAGTTTTATAGCAAAATCTAGCCGGGAAAAGGTTCCACTTTCACCTAGCACTGTACTTATTCATACAAAAAGATGCAGTTTTGCAGTGGCTTACTTCTCAGCAAAAGTATGACCACTGCGGAATGGCAGCTGGTGCCAAAATGCCCCTTTAGAGAAGCCAAATAATTATTTTCTCAATCTCCTTAGCACTTTCTTAATTCTTTCATATTGGACCTGAAG